GTTTAAAAAGATATCCTTCATACATAAGACAGAAGTGATTATGAAATATACAGGGTTCAGAAGCATTGAGTGATCAGCTCATAGTTTATTAGTGAATTCAGCTTAACTCTAAGACAACCTCAGCAGAACCGCAGTTGTTATGTATTCACTGTATTAAATGTAATGTTAAGCTTAGCCAGGATTCTAAGCTGGAACAATCCTATTGGCTAACGAATAATTGTAACCAATCAGAAGTCAGAGAACTGTGCTGGAGGGAACTAATCTGGTTGGTTGTTATCCTTACAATGTTATTGGTCCTTAACTGTTGTGGGCGTGGCTACTTCAGCCCGGGATAGTTAAAAGGGAGCTATGATCCACTGTTTGTTGTTGTGTGTTCTTCTGATGTTCCTGTTATTAATAAAGCTGAATCACTTACTTACAACGGTGTTGATTCAATACTTGACAGCAGCCCTGCTTAAATGTGCACCCAACACCAAACCCAACACACACCCACACCCAGTGATAGACTATTCCACTGTATCTTAATTGGTTCCTTCTAGGATCCTGGCTGTCTATTGGTTGGTTACTCAAGCTTAGTCAAGGTCCTCGGTAGCATTCCAGCTCATAACAGATTATGCCTGTGCTAGTTTTATGTTTTTATTGTACTTTCAAGGAGTTAAAAAACAGACCTGGGGAAACATGCCAAAAACAGTGTCTTCTGCCTTGCAGTCTCTGAAGTAGTACTGCCTCAATATTTTACCAGTGCATTTCTTTGTGTCTGTGGCTTAGGACTGAGATCTGGCATTGCATACATTTTTAAGGTGATACAGGCAATGCTCCTGTGGCAGATCTCCTTGCTTCTTCTCAAGTTGCAATTTTGAGTCCGTAGGTTGCTTTTTTAAAAAGTCCCATTGTTTCGTTTGTGAGTTCTCAGTGCTGTTACATTCGTTAGTACAAATGTGTGCATTACCCCCCGAGCCATCATGTTTATATTTCAGAACTTCATCGTCCCCATTGTTCTGTGCGGTCTTCTCTGTAGTTTCCTGCCCATTGTTGACAAATAAATGGTATTCCAGATGCCACACTATAACTCACATGATAGGGTACCATTCCAAACTATTTATTTATTCCACAAATGGTTGACATAGACATGGGAGGGGGGGACCATTCAAATGAACCTGATTGTCCCATCAGTCTGCCATGCAACCAGTGCCAAGTGAAGAGTGGAGTGTGCAGTTCTCACGTAATTCACAGTGTTCTTACCAGAGGCAAGTATCAAACCTGAAACTGGTTACCCTTTGGGAGTGGGTTGGATTGCAGGGGAATTTTATAAGTATATATATTTTCACATGCAAATATGGGAAGAAAGAGTTTTAAAAGTTCTCTTACACTGAATTCACAAAAAACTCTTTCCTAAAATGCACAGCTGGAAAAGCTAGAAGCTCAACTTTTTATGTGAAAGCTGAGATTTTCAGGAAGCTGAATTATATACCCAATTTAAAATTTGGTGCTTTTGCCAGACTTCTGTGTGGAGTGCACCCAAGTGTATCTGAATCCGGTACGGAGCTCTGGGGCAATGTAAAGAAGCCAATGGAAGAGGTTTCTCATAATGCAGTATAGGAAAATATATGTGTGCCAAGAGAGTGTGTGTGTGTATCTCTGTTGTAAGCCTGAGCGGGTATGTATACAAGTGTATTCTGGGATAGTGTATGGTGTTGATGCTTGGTAAATACAATGTTGACATTCAGCTACTGCAGTGTTCATTGAACTGACACCAACAAAAGACAAGATGTGAGTCAAAAACAAGAGTATCTTTATTAACTGATAAAACACAGATTCTGATCATTTAAAGACACAGAGTCAAGTGGTCCCAGTGGTGTTCGTGTTCCTGGCAGGAATGACATTCTGACGCTGAGTTCACAGCCATGCCCTGGGGCCTCTCCAGCAGGTTTCTGTCTATAATATGTAGTAGGCACTGTCCAGATCCTCAGTGGGCTTGAAAACTGCTAACGCAAGGACAGGCATGCAGCATGGACTGTGCAAATTAGCCAGGCTGCAGTGGGGTCCAGACTGCAGCCATCAACAGTGGATGGATTCTTTCTCATCTCAGAGGGGAAAGAAAGAAGGAGCAGATGGGAAAGGAGGAGCAGGACAGGGTGAAACAGTGGAGGGAGGAAGATATTAATGGAGGTAATATAAATGTGCAGATTAATTGTACGTGGTATGTTTGTGCACTAATACATGCACACTCATGTACTTGTGTGTGCATATAGCATACACTTTTAATTGCTATAATGTACACAGCCATGCACAAGCATGTGAACTTTACTGCATACGTGTTGTGAGGCATAATTTGTGTGCGCTTGTGTATGATCTTCATTTCACCTTGTCTCCTCTGATATTTTATACCAGACATGTATCCTTTCAAATTCAAATGTGGTACATGCACACGCACATGCAAACCTATGCATGTCTGTGAATATTTGTGAACCTCACTGCAAGCAGGCATATCTTCATGTATTATCTGGGTTGGGAAAAATCCCAGTAGCATCGATAGAGAAATCTTGTTTTTGGCACAGGGGAATTTGGAACATGCCTTCAGCCCTGAGCAAGGCTGCTGCCTCAAATCTGATTCTGGCACTGAGGAATTTGTTCCTTCCAACATCCCCTCTGCACACACGACAGCCATACCGGTGGCAGCATGTACAGCTCTGTTTGGATTAGCAGATACTGCCTGGGAGGAACTAGTTTAGTATTAGCTTAGTTTGATCTAGTAGTCCTGAAGTATGCATAGATCTGCAGATATGTGTACACAGAACATGTTGTACATCTCAGTTCATGTGCAAAATGGCCACACACATGGAAGAATATAGATATACATAGGTATGGATATGTAGAATGAAAGACCTTTCTTTCCTCATTAGCAAAGGAAGGCTGTTGCTAGGTAAACCTGTGATGGGATCTCGTCTGTCCCCCTACTCTTCTCTCCCTCGTCCCCCCCCCCCATGTTAGGACTCTGGACACTACTGTAATCAAAAGACAAAGGCTTGGATCCAGCGATGCAGAGATGTAAGTGGACTTTGTGCAGCTCTGCTTGCACACGATCTTGGGCAATGCCTAGGGCTTTTCTCCCTGTATATTATAGTGCCCAGAAACTGGTTGCACAAGGTACTATGGAAGCAAAAATGCAAATGGGGAAACAGTAAGTTTGGCCTGATACAAGCAGCTGCTGTAGTCTTTTTCAAGAGCTTGTAGGGCAAGTGGAAATTTTGTGTTGGATCCAACCCATGGTATATCAGTGAGTGTGCATGTTGAAGGATGCATATATATATGTACATGTGTTGGGTGTACTTTGGAGAGAAACTCTGGCTGTGTTCACTTTGCTTGGTGGAAATAAGACCTCTAATTGATATGGCCGAAGTCTGAAGCACATGATGCTTGAGATGGTGTCTGAAGTTGTGTTGGCGCATTCCAAAGAGCTTGTAGTGTTTTCATAGTCTGCTCAGAGTCTGGTTCAAGGTTTTTTGAGATGTTAAGCATTGTAATGAGCTAGTAAGGGTGGCACAACGTTGGGATATAGCTGTGTTTTATTGGAAAAAACCTACTATACCCAGACTTTGAGTGTATTTTTGGATGCTGAATTATTTCGGGGAGGACATGGCTGATATGGACATGGCAGCAGTGGGACTTGACTGGGGCAGATGTGGTTGAGATGGTGCATATTCTACAAGTGTTATGGATGTGTGAATTCGGGTAGTTATGGTGGTTGATTGCAATGCACTTGGATCTTATCAGCTCTCCAACGATCATCAGCCTTACCTGATTCCAAAATGGCAGCTGTGAAATAGGGAGGGGGGGGACTGTCCTTGCTGGCAGGTGTGTCAGTGTTTGGATTACAAGGGTCTATAACATGGTACAGAGCAGTTTCCATTGTCCCCAGGGCAGCCACAGTGATATACTTACACACAAAGCCTTAGCGGCCCCCACAGATTGTGCTCCTCTTCTATCCCAGCTGAAAGTCTCTACGTTAGGGATTTCTATATATATTCATGCAGTTGAACAGTGGATCATCCTATGGGGATCAGCCCCAGTAATACTTGGCTCAATGTACAAAGGCAGGAAGAATCTGGGGTTGAAAGCCCCTATTTGTACATCAAGGGTTGTTTCGATATAGCGGGGTTTGGAGATTAGTTCAGAAGGACAGTTCTCTCCCATTGCTTGGAGTGGGCTCATACTGTGGAACCCAACCACGCACGCAATTTTTATTTGAATCCCGTCCCACCGCTGACAGACAGCACCGGAGTCCAGAATGTTTCCGGAATGTGATTATGACCTCTTGTCCCAAGGGGAAACAGGAGTGTGGATACTAAAGCCTGCTATTCCTACTTTCGCCCCACTCCCCCAACGGACTTTCCCACTGGCTTTTTCTATTGGATAAATAATAGCCTATGAAGTCAGGACTCCTTCACAGGCAACCAATCAGTTGGTCTATGGAATATATACAAAAGGCATCCTTTTTTTTCTTCCTGTGGAAGGGAGCTAATGAATTAATTCACTTTCTAGGTCTTTGCTCCTTAGAATCGTTTAGGGAGCGGATGATATAGAAAACAAACCCCACAACCAATCAGCAGTGGATTTGGACCCCACCCTGCATTAATCAACCTTTTCTTCAAAGTAGGGATATTACTCAAAACCTAGATTTTGCCTCTCTAGGGGATATGGCTGCTACTAACCAGGGGCCCACCCAGGATGATACTCTTATTACCCTGTATCTACCCCCCCAATTCCCCATGCACCCTAAATCCCTTATTTTGCCCACCCTCTAAACAGCATATTGACCCAAGGGGGAGGGCAGCGTCTCCCCTCTCCAAGTGTCTGTTCCGTCCTCTGTTGATTGGAACTAGCAGGAAGGATCCCCTGGGGTCCAGGGAGATGGTAAAGCCAAGAAGAATATTGAGCTGACCCAGAGGGGGAAGGGTTTGGGTAGGTAAAAAGGGTGGGGAAGTAGGAGCCGGCAGGGCTCAATCCGGGTAGATGATGAATCCGGAGAAGGTGCTGTACTTGTTGGTATTGCCACCGTGGACTTTCCCACCGTCCAGCTTGATGAAGACTTCATCGCCCACGTCCAGGTGTAGGATCACACTGTTACTAGCGTAATCGTAGTTCTGGTCAGCATCTTGTGCGATGGCACTGGCCCGGACCTGGAGGAGACAAGCCGATGTTAGCAAGGTCATGAGAGGAGGGCAGAAGGGGACCCCCTCACCAGCCTGTAGTAAGCCTTTGAGCTATTGGTGGGAAGGGCTTTGCTTATTCCGTTCAAGAAGAAATCAAAGGTAAGAATCCTCCAAAATGACCTCCAAAGCTTTGTAGAACTCTCAAACGGCATGTATTTGCATACTTCAGCTAGCGGTGGGCAAGGGAAAAGATCTACTTGTGGCCCTAAAGCTTCACTCTGTTGATTGCTGTCCAGGCATCCGATATATCAAACAGACAATGGCTTTTAAGAGAACTGAATGTGGTTTGAAAGAGGCTTCATTTCCTCTGGTGTGGGCAGACATTTATTTTGTTCTACTGTCGCCTCTGATTCAGAACTGATGAGATGCCAGGGCATTCGTGATTGGATCTTTCCAGCAGTTTTTTTTTTTTTAAAGGGCAATTGTAGCCAGCTCTGCGGGGGGCCTTAGTCAAATTTGGGGCTTCCATGGAGAAGGGGTTCAGCCCTGCCACTCCTCCACAGTTTTTCTAAGCAGAACAGATCACCCCCCCCCCCCGCGTGCTCTCTGTAGCCCTTTAAAGGGAAAAACAGACAAGACACCCTGTCTTTTTTCGCCTGTCAGTGGCTAATAACAGAATGGGGTGTTTATGTGTTTTGATCAGTGTGACCATGTGAAGGGAGAAGGGGTCAGCCGGGGGTCCCCAACCTTTTTGAGCTCGCGGGCACCTTGGAATTCTGACAAAGGGCAGTGGGCACAATCACAGGAAGTGGGTGCCGCAGGAGACGGAGCCAAACACTAAATGCTGGGGATCAAGGTTATGTACAAGTCTAACTCTCCAGCATTCCAGAAAGAAGCTCTGTTTAACAGGATGCCTTTTAATATGCACAGCCTGAGTCCTGCTGGGAAAGGGCCACAACTTGCCCTGCCCACTTGGAGGTTAGTGATCTCCCAATTTTTCCTCTTTTTGATTCTCTGGATAAAACGGGTGTTTTGAAACTGTGCAAAAACATGCCAAACAAAGGTGAAAGTGGGATGATAGCACATTATATATACAGTCAATGATCCCTCATTCAAACAGGCTTCATGGGGGGGGGGAGAATGCACTCATCTACCTCTGGCTTCTGTTGGCTCCTCCCACTTCACCTTCTTGCCTATTTGCATGTCCCCTGGTTGTGGCTGGGAGAGGAAAGGAAAAGAGGCAGAGAGGTGTTTTCTTTGACGTTCAAATAAGTAGCCCTTCCTGAACTTGCACAGGAGCCATGCTTGAAGTCTTCCGGAGCTTGACGTGGCTCCAGAGGTTGCCCACTGGCATTAATAATGGCTTGCATGTATTCTGGGTTTAAACAATGAACATGAGAAAAATGTTTTTTAAAGCTGTGAAAAGGTAAATTATGTAAAATCAACACATTTGCATGTTTTTGAATAATTCAGGCTCTCTTCTCATGGGAATCCCTCGCGACCAGTGGAAATGAGATTCAGCCACCTGTCTGTCACCAGGCACTGACCATGTTCTTTCCCATGTATATGTCTTCTAGCCATAAGGACTAGAAACCTTTTTTTTTGTAAACAGAAGTTTTACGGAAAACTTAATTCTGTTCCGAAAACCATGCTTTGTAATTGTTTCTAAGGTTCAGTCTAAAGGAACTTCTCTCCCATATATCCTTGCCTGCCCCCAGAGGGCTGTTCTCCCACTGAAGGTAGCCTGCCTGGCATCAGCTAGAGCCCCCTGCCCTTTTTCACTGTAGCTCCCACTCTGTGCAGGGGGCTCCCGGAGAAGGGGGGGGAGGAGCACTTTCAGGACATTCCACAAGGCCATTTTATTTGCTAGGGATATAGACTGCAGGTGTATTTGGGAGGAATGGGGACCATTTGGGACATCATCATCAGAAACCCTGTGATTGGTACTCTACCTTGAGCCACAAGGAAAGGCAGGGTCTCTCTCTCCAAGGGAAACACAAAGCCGCTTACATTATTCTCTCCTGGGAAATGTTGTCGCCACAATCACCTTGTGAGGGCGTTGAGGCCCAAGAGGGTGTGGCTGGCCCCTGGTCTCCCAGGGAGCTTCCATGGAAGAGTGGGCATTTGAACCTGGCTCTCCCAAATCTCCATTGGACAATCTAAGGAATAAGTAAAGGTAAAGGTTTCCCTTGCTCGAAAGCCAGTCGAGTCCGACTCTAGGGTTGCGGTGCTCATCTCCGTTTCCAAGCCGAAGAGCCAGCGCTGCCCGAAGACGTTTCCGTGGTCATGTGGCCAGCATGACTAAACACCAAGGTGCACGGAACGCTGTTACCTTCCCACCGAAGTGGTACCTATCTAAGGTATCTAAGGAAAACACAGTGTTTTGTTAAATAAATTTTTGCCGTGAGATCATAGGACATAGACAGCTCTGGCTTTTGAAGGAAGAGTGCTCCTCTTGAGCAGTTTCAGCAGCTTCTCAAAACACGGTGCCTGCCTGATGCCTCTTCCTTAGTGTCCATAAGCACTCACACAGCTGTCTTCTACCTCCAAGGAGCTCAGGGTGGCATGGGTGGTTCTGCCCCTTTGGAGTTTTATCTTCACAATGATGCTGTGAGATGGGTCACCTGAAGGAGGGGCTGACCCAGGTCTCCCAGTGAGCATCAAGGCAGACTGGGGATTTGAGTCGGGTATCCCCAGATCCTAATCTGCTTCTGGCACTGCATCATGTGTGCTATGCTATTTTAGTGTAGTGTTGAAGTGTGTAGACTCTAATCTGAGAGTACCGGGTTTAATTCCCCACTCCTCCACTTGCAGCTGCTGGATGACCTTGAGCAAGCCATAGCTCTGTCAGAGCTATTCCCTCAAGGACAGCTCTGGAAAGAGCTCTCTCAGCCCCACTTGCCTCACAGGGTGTCTGTTGTGGGAAGGGGGAGGGAAAGGAGTTTGTAAGCCGCTCTGAGACTCCGAGTGAAGGGCAGGGTATAAATCCAATCTCTCTCTTCTCTCTCTATATGACAAAGAGAATTGCCTAATCCTCTGTTTTTTGGTGCTGTCTTATGCAGCCACAACAACTTGAATGAATTGGTCTGTATTAGCAATGCACAATAATGGACACTATCCCTGATACTGCTGAGCACTGTTTGGACTAGGGCCAAGAGCTACCAACAGGCAGTTTTATACCCTCTGTGTGTGTGCATGTGTCTGCACGTGCTGAAACCTAAATATGTTATGCAGATACAACATATTTGCATAACCTGCTCCTCAGCAAAGAGCAGAGGGGTCCTCTTAGCACTCAAATTCCTGCACGACACGCTTCCGATTTCTGAAATTTTGTGAAGCAGTGCTCATGTCTCTTCAAGTATCTCTCCTCAGCCGTAAACCTGAAATTCTCAAGATGCTGAATTCTCTTCCAGGCTCACAGATTCTGCACTTGGATGGTGCAGCTAGACCCAGAGAGCACACACAGTGCTGAGCAAACCAATCAGCTATTAAACAAGGAGAAGCAGAAAATAACTGAAGATTGACAACGGGAAGCCAAGGCTCAGAGGCCAAGCTGGGGTTAGTCCAGACATCTGCCTGTACATCCCAAATGGCTATTTTTTCGAGTCCTCATCCATGTGCACAAAGGCCTCCCGTACCTGTAGCCCCTGGTCCTTGGAACGTCCACCTGAGACTGTTTTGCTACAATGGCCTGCAGGTCTATGGTGGCATTTTTTTGGCTGGCAGGGTTAACCATTAGTTCCAGCCAATGGTGTCTGTTTGCCTTACAAACTGACACAAACAAAAACTGCTTTAAGCCTCACTTGTAGAAATGTTTGCAGGCTGCAGTCCTGTGTACCTGGGAGGAAGTCCACTTGTGCAGAACTAGGGATTACTTCCAAGGAAGTAATCCACAGGATCAGGCTGGGTTCTATTCTGGCTTCTGGGCTGGGGCTGTTAGAGGTGGCAAACTTTTAGGCAGAGGCTTGAATAAGAAATATTGTTTTGGATACTGCTTCAGGATTGTGATCGGGCATGGTGTCATGGTTGGGCTAGAGTTGGGGACTAGGGTTTGGGAGACCCTAGTTCAAATCCCACCATGGAAGCTTGCTGACTTGGTTAAGAACCTAGGGGTGATAAGGGATCCAGCATTACTGCTGGAGAAGTGAGTTAATACAGATGCAAAAAAATTTTTTTTGCTTTCTTCCAGCTTGATCTGGCTTGGAAGATGAAGCCTGGAGTTCCCCCAGAACTGCAACTGATCTCTGGACTACGTGGATGATTTTCCCTGGAGTGAAAGGGCAGCTTCATATCCCTGCTTGAGCAGCTTTCCCACCCACCCTCAAACCTCCAGGACTTTCCCAACCTGGAGATGGCAACCCTGTTGTGGAATGGCCTGCCTGAGGAGGGCAGGAGGAAGGCCTCCACAATGCTGTCATTCCACAAATTATGTAAAAAAGAATTGCTCAGGAGGGCATTTGTATAAACGTAATAGGGCTTATATTATAATGAAATGGCTCAGGAAGGTGAAAGAAGTACGTTTCGCCCTTTCTGACAATACAAGAACTCGGGGATACTCAATGAAATTGCTGAGCAGTCGGGTTAGAACGGATAAAAGGAAGTACTTCTTCACCCAAAGAGTGATTAACACATGGAATTCACTGCCACAGGAGGTGGTGGCGGCTACAAGCATGGACAGCTTCAAGAGGGAATTAGATAAGCACAAGTGGAGACCCGCAAGAAACTTGCGGGATAGTTATCCTATTCCTCACACCTTTGCTTCCTCCTGTCTCCCTCTACCTCTCTCACACTCTTTTTCCCTTCTGCCCCCCCTCCTTTCTTTCTCTTTCTCCTTCATGTATGGTTTGGAGGGTGAAGTCTATGGCATTATATTGATCTGTAGTTCCTGCCCTCCTCAAGTTCCACCCTCCCCAGGCTCCACCCCACAAATATCCAGGAATTTCCCAGCCTGGAGTTGGCAACACAATTTCCTTCCCACCCAATAGCCAGCCTACCTTTATCTGCCTCTCTGTCTTCAGCTTTCCATC